TAGAACCCACTTCATCAGATGCCTGAAGTGGAAAATACAGGAGCAGGTATAAATACATGGAAGGATGCAAGTTGCCTTACCAAGTCTGAGGTCAGTCTAACGAGACAATTCACTTAACAGCAGGATACCAAAGGAGGAAAGATAACTTTTGAAGTGGTAATGAGAGTGGTCCATTTCAGAGAGTTGGCAAGAAGGTGTGAGTAACAGTAGGGGGAAATTAGTATTGGGGAAAATAGGTTTAGGTTTTGTAATGACCCCACCACTCCCAGTCTTTATTCAGGCCTAATCTGATGGTGTCCAGTTTGCAAATTAATTCCAGTTCTGCAGTTTCACGTTGGAGTCTGTTCTTGAAGATTTTTGTTGAAGAATTGCCACTTTTAGGTCTGTTATTGAGTGTCCAGAGAAACTGAAGTGTTCTCCTTCTGGTTTTTGAATGTTATGATTCCTGATGTCAGATTTGTCTCCATTTATTCTTTTGTGTAGAGACTGTCCAGTTTGGCCAATGTACATGGCAGAGGGGCATTGCTGGCACATGATGGCATATATCACATTGGTAGATGTGCAGGTGAGTGAGCCCCTGATGGTGTGGCTGATGTGATTAGGTCCTATGATGGTGTCCCTTGAATTGATATGTGGACAGAGTTGGCACCGGGGTTTGTTGCAGGGTTTAGTTTCTGGGTTGGTGTTTTTGTTGTGTGGTGTGTAGTTGCTGGTGAGTATTTGCTTCAGATTGCAGCCTCCCTCTGTAAGCGAGGACTGCCCTGTCTCCCAAGGTCTGTGAGAGTTAGAGATCGTCCTTCAGGATAGGTTGTAGATCCTTGATGATGCGCTGGAGAGATTTTAGTTGGGGGCTGTAGGTGATGGCTAGTGGCGTTCTGTTACTTTCTTTGTTGGGCTTGTCTTGTAGTAGGTGACTTCTGTGTACCCTTCTGGCTCTGTCAGTCTGTTTCTTCATTTCACCAGGTGGGTATTGTAGTTTTAAGAACACTTGATAGAGATCCTGTAAGTGTTTGTCTCTGTCTGAGGGATCGGAGCAAATGCGGTTGTATCTTAGAGCTTGGCTGTAGACAATGGATAATGTGATGTGGTCTGGATGAAAGCTGGACGCATGTAGGTAAGTATAGCGGTCAGTAGGTTTCCGGTATAGGATGGTGTTTGTGACCATCACTTATTAGCACTGTAGTGTCTAGGAAGTGGACCTCTTGTGTGGACTGGTCCAGGCTGAGGTTGATGGTGGGGTGGAAATTGTTGAAATCTTGGTGGAATTCCTCAAGGGCCTCCTTCTTAGGGGTCCAGATGATGAAGATATCATCAACGTAGCACAAGTAGAGTAGGAGCATGAGGGGACGAGAGCTGAGGAAGTGTTGTTCTATGTCAGCCATAAAAATGTTGGCATACTGTGGGACCATGCGGGTACCCATAGCAGTCCCACTGGCTTGATGACAGGGCTTTGGAGTGGAGCACGGAGATGGAGCACAAAGCAGCTCCGGAGCAGTGGAGCTGCAGGTTTTTGCCTGGAGCTCAAAGCCCTGCTTGAAGATATAAATTGTCCCCAAATCTGAAATAGTTGTGGGTGAGGACAAAGTCACAAGATGCCTCACTCTCACAGACCTTGGGAGACAGGCTAGTCCTCGCTTACAGAGGGAGGCTGCAATCTGAAGCAAATACTCACCAGCAACTACACACCACACAACAAAAACACCAACCCAGAAACTAAACCCTGCAACAAACCCCGGTGCCAACTCTGTCCACATATCAATTCAAGGGACACCATCATAGGACCTAATCACATCAGCCACACCATCAGGGGCTCACTCACCTGCACATCTACCAATGTGATATATGCCATCATGTGCCAGCAATGCCCCTCTGCCATGTACATTGGCCAAACTGGACAGTCTCTACGCAAAAGAATAAATGGACACAAATCTGACATCAGGAATCATAACATTCAAAAACCAGAAGGAGAACACTTCAGTTTCTCTGGACACTCAATAACAGACCTAAAAGTGGCAATTCTTCAACAAAAATCTTCAAGAACAGACTCCAACGTGAAACTGCAGAACTGGAATTAATTTGCAAACTGGACACCATCAGATTAGGCCTGAATAAAGACTGGGAGTGGTGGGGTCATTACAAAACCTAAACCTATTTTCCCCAATACTAATATCCCCCTACTGTTACTCACACCTTCTTGTCAACTGTCTGAAGTGGACCACTCTCATTACCACTTCAAAAGTTATTTTTCCTCCCTTGATATCCTGCTGTTAAGTGAATTGTCTCGTTAGACTGACCTCACACTTGGTAAGGCAACTCCCATCCTTTCATGTATTTATACCTGCTCCTGTATTTTCCACTTCAGGCATCTGATGAAGTGGGTTGTAGACCACGAAATCTTATGCCCAAATAAATTTAAGGTGCCACAAGGACTCCTCGTTATTTTAGTCAATTTAGCAGTATCTCAGGAAAGGGTGTTTTTCTCCATGGGCTCTGTAGGGATGCAAACATTGTAGAATGTTTCTTTCAACTGGTTAGCTTCAGAATATAGTACCCATTTATCTATGCTTCACAAATACTTTCCAGCATTTTTTCCTATATTGCACTATAAAATGAAAATATCTACCCTTGTAAAGCAAATGAAAGTTATATAAGAACTTAAAATAGCTTTTTGCTTTGCTTAAAGTTGTGTAATTATTGTCAGGTTTTCTAGAAGGCACATAATTAAAGAACAATTAGATATCACCTTTCTAGAAGTTCCTCTTATGGTAAATAGCACTGGCTAATTTGTTTTTTTGTTTGTACAGTTCAGTAAGTTTTGTGTTTCAGTGACGTTGTAAATGAAGGATTGTTTTCATGGCTTACTGTTTCTTATGACCACTAAAGTGAATTTATTGTGAAAATGCATATAGTTGTTTGGAATGGTTTGCACAAACAATGACAATCAAAGAATAAATTCTAAAATCTGAGGAACAAGTAAAAGTCTTAAACAAGAGAAAAAATAGAAAATTCTACAAAATATCACAAAATTCTACCCAAAAAAAGGGTGTGTGTATTTCAGATTAGAGCCATTTGAAAATCTGGGATTTAACTTTTGTGAAGTGTAAGTAATTTATTACAAGTTTTCCTTGCTCTTAAACTTCAGGCCATGGTTTGAAAAACTTTAGTCTTTTGTTTGTACAGTACTAGTTATACACATCATCCTGAATCAACACGTTTTGGAACACTGAGAACTGAATGAATTGAGCTACATTGTATCCATAAAATATCCCAGTATTTTGATGTAATAAAAGTTCCCAGCCCATCTCATTTAAAGATACTTTGTGCACTGTTATTGAATTAGACCTCAATCTTGCAAAGGGACCTTGCATATGCTTAGCTTAAATTTATGCACCATGAGTAGCCCCAATTGGGGCCTTAGTTTGTGAGAGGACACTTGTTTTAATACAAGAAACTATGGTTTTGAAATATAACCTAAAAACTGTTAAGATAAAATTTATTTACTTTTTTGTGTGTAAAAGCTGCTAAGTAATAAACGAGATGTAATATTAATCTAGTTTCAGAGAAACCTTTGGTTTCTGTATGTTAGATCAAAACCTGTCAAATCTCAATTAGTTTTAGAAAGTGGTGGCAAAAAAAGAGAGCAATGTTTAAAGTGTCTCTCTCTCTTTTAGAATGAAAGATATTGCAATATATGTAGTTAATAACACATTTACAATTTCCTTAATTTAATTTTAAATCTTCCTTCTTCCAGTTGTCCCAGTTTAAAACAGCTCTATGATTTAACCTTAAGTCTTAAGCTGCGTCAACCCTGGGCTTTTTCCATGAGGAGCAATTTTAAGTAGGGAGGTTTATTATCCAAATCTAAAGTGTGACCTACTCCTAGAAGTCCAAACTGTGTAAAAGGAAGTTCTGTCAAGGCAAATGAATAGTTTGCAAGAAGGTGTTGTTACTATTTTCCAAAACCAGATAAAATACGGGTAACTGTTGCAATACAATAAAAGAAATATCAAAACCACCCAACTCTCTCAAAAGATTTTAGCTACTCATCTTTCTCTATGCTGTACTCTTTACAAAGGGTGTGGTTACTATTGCTCTGTGCACAGTGTGATCACTATTGCGCTGTCCATGGTGTGAGGTGTGAATGTTATTGCTGTGTGTGGTCACTCTTGCACTGTCCATGGTGTGATTGCTACTTCTGTACATGGTCACCACAGCTCACTTGTGATAACTACTGCTCGGTGTATGCTGTACATTACTGTCCTATGCATGCTGTACAACCTGGTCTCTATTGTGGCTGCTCAGCGCAATGCTTGCTTCAGATGTGCTTCCGAACACTATGATGTGCCAGAGATGCAAACAGGAGGTCCATCTCCCTATACCCAAAAGCCATCTCTGGCCTCCCTTTCGTCTGTCTTTGTGGGGCCAACCCCTGTGCCTGATGCTCCCACTCCTGGACATGGGGAGAGCTCCCTGGTGCAAGGTGTGCGCACCATCACTAGGGCACGAGGTGGTGTGCTCACTATTATGAGGTCACGTGATGTAGTCACTTCTGTGTCACGTGGGCGTATGCTCACTATACTCGTGCCCCCGCTCCAGACACAGCGGCGAGGCCCCTCTCCTCCCCTCCGGGCAGGATGTAGTCCCGGCTGGGGGGTGGCGGAAGGATAAGCAGGCGGCGCCAAACCCCGCTGAGGCCCCAGCCGCAGGGCGCGGCGCCTCCTAGCGGGCCCGGGGTAGATCCCGCCGCCGGCTCCCCTTCTCGCGAGAGCCCCCCCCCATCGGCAGGGTTATGTAACCTGCTCCCCCTCCCCCTCCCCTTAAAGGACCCGCACCCAGAAGTGGGATGGGGTCTAGGCGAACAGGGCCCCATTGGGGCTCAGGCCCCCTCCCCCCCGGGGCGCGGCCCCCTCCCCTCCCGCTGGACAATGAGTCCCGTATGCTAATGAGAGTATCGCGTCACTTCCGCTCTTTCTCGGCCGCCATCTTGGCCAGGGCAGGTTCTGGGCAGGAGGGACCCGGCTGTATTGTCTGCAGGGCGCCCAGGGAGCCCCCCCCGGCCCGGAGCCTGACACCCCCCCCTCCGGGGACCGAGCGCTGTGGAGCCGCCACCGCCCCCTCCCCCCGGGACCTGCTCACCATAGGCCACCCCCACACACACTCACCCCCCCGCCATCCAGCCCCCTTTGTCTCCCCCGCGCCGCCGCCGGCTCCGCTCCGCCCGCCCGCCCAGGGACCCGGGCGGCGCCAGGGAGGCAGCTCCGCGCACCCCCACCCCCAGCCAGAGGTGCCGGGGGAGCGCCCGCCCTCCTCTGCTGAGGAGAGCCCCAGGCAGGTAGGTGAGTCCGCGGGTCCGAGCCGGGAGGGGGCAAATCCCCACCCCCCGATCCGTGCAGCTGCCTTTACCCGTAAGCACCGGGGCAGAGCCCCGTGCAGCTCTCTCCTCAGCCGCTGGGCAGGAGCCCCGTGCCGGCCCCGCACAGTGCAGTGTCCAACGCGATGCCCGCTGCAGGCGGGGGCTGCGGAGTTTGCGGGCAGCTCCCACCCCTCTCCGCAGCTGCACACATGTGGCAAAGACTTGCATGCACTGAAGAGACCAGTTCTTTCTCTGTGCTCTGGCCCGTTCTCCCGCCTGAACCGGCTGCAGGGACCGCTACCGGCTTCCCCTCGCCTTTCCCGGGGCCCGCACGGCAGATGCAGCCCCAGCCTCCTCCCTCAGTCCTTCCTCACCCCCGGCGGCAGGGGCTGCACATGGATGTGCCTCGAGGGTGGCTTTCATTGCACGCTCTGCACTGGCGGCGGTGGGTGGTGGGGTGAAGCGGCAGAGATGGATCAGTGAATGTATGGATCCATCACCTCTAGCATCTCAGAGCTGTCTTTAACATGCCGCCTGCCTGGTGAAGGTCCCTAATGGCAGAGTTGGCGCTGGAGAGTGGCCGGAAAGCAGTGCTGGCTGCGGTGCAATGAATGGAGACTAGAGCAGCCTCCCCCCCACTAGCCGGGGTGTCTGTCTGCTGGAAAAGGCGCGATTCATGACTGGTCCCCTGAGCAGATCAGTGGCTGCAGGCTGGAGTAACATTCACCCAGCCACTCACCCTCCTCTTCCTCTCTCCATCCCGGGTCATAGCAACTGTAACCCATTTCTCAGACAAAGGCAGGAGAAATTAAGCCATAAAATGTTGCTTACTGCCTCTGCCGTTCGAAGGTTGCACCCTCCTCACCCATCCCATCATGTTGCTTTTCGTTCGTGTTTGCAGTCTAAGTGGGTTTTTTAAAAAAAAGCACCAACGTGAATGTGACTCCCATTTTTGTACGTGTTGGGGTTGGATTAAAGCTATATTGTTGCATCTGGTTTATGGCCATGGAAGAAAAATACCAGCTCCCACCCAAAATGCACCGCAGCCAATTCGGTGGAAAGGAGAGATGAGTGTTCAAGTCAGTAGGGGGCGCATTCTCTACACTGGGTAAGGTTGCTGCAGAGAGGGGGAAGGGCCCCAGATGCATAGAGAGGAGCTGCCACACAGCGCCTTCTACAGACCTGGGAAAATGGGCCTATCACTAAGTGCTCAGTTGCTCTTATGAGCTGACAGCAGCATAGTAAAGGATTTAGTGAATAGTGCAGTGATTTAGAGAAGAATCTGATCACTTCAATATGTTTTTTTGAAACTACAGTGACCAAATTGTGTTCTTGGCATAAAATTCTCAGTGCCATTCCCGATACTACTACTATATACTTTCATTCAGTTCATAGGTCTTGATCAACTCTGTGCCACTATAATAATCTGAGATCACCTTTGAAGTTGACAGAATACTTGTGTTCAGAGATCACACTGATTAAATGGAAAAATGAGAAAACTAGAGCATGTGGATGACTTCTGTCTCTTTTGCAAGGCTGTACATGGACCTCCATGGAGAATGTAATAATTATATGAAAACTTGATTGTGGCTTGTGGTGCCATCTGCTTTATAAGCTTGCATGGCTTTTTCACACATTCTGAATGCATGGCAGTAGTGATGTAGAAACTTTAAAAATGGTGCATTACTAAAGCATTGAGTGCTTTATCTGTAGACTGAGTAAGCTATGCTTTCTTGGACAACTGGGATTCTTCTATAATTTTGTCTCGTGATCTTGGTTTTAACGAAAATATTTGACAGGCTTAAGAGCTTTGGCATCTTTTAGAAAAATATGACAGAACTTTCCTTAGTTTATGCCATGATGTTTCCATTAACTTTGTTTATTAATATTTGAACATTGATGGGGCGAGGGGATGTGTTTAGATGAGGAAGTATTGTCACTACTTGTGCAGCACAGTATGGCCTACTTAAATACATTCAGATTGAATTGCCTGGCTCCCTGGTAGCAGCAGTGCCATTCAAGTAACCTGGGTCTCAGCTGGACCATCTGGAAAAACTGAACTTTCACTTGGGGAGAACTGTAACTGTTGCAGCTATGAAGATTTACCAAGGTTTCATATCACAGTTACCATCCGTCCGGATGAGGAAAATGAACCATCCCCTTAAAACCAGTTGCTTTTAAAACAAAACAAACAAAATTTGATCAATTAATGCCTTGTACAGTTTGTAATATATATTTACATATGTTGGGTAGTGAGTACCAAATCCAACCAATATCTTCCTTACAATATGTAGTGAAGTTGGAGTATTATACAGAAATGAAAAGAAACATATTCTGTTGCTACTAAAAATTGCCACTTGAGGCTGATTCATTGTAACATGGTTGTTAAATCTTTGCTGAAGATGCTTCCAGTATACATAAAGATAAGCCTTAGAATGGAGATTCTTTTTTGACACATAGTTGATAACATGTCCCTACATAGAAATATTTAAGTAGAATATTAAGCTTGTTTATACTTGTGAATTTATTATGCTTTATACAGGTTTTAACTTCTCTCTGCTAAAAGTGATTTTGACCTGTCCACAGTAATTTTTATTTATGTTATATTTGGCTTTTCAGCTTTAACAGTGATTGACATGTTTAACCTCTTCAGAGTTTACAGTCAGCTTTAAGAAGCTATTGCAATCTTGCTTTCATGTCTGAAACAGTTAACTGTTTAGTACCCAGTGTTTCAAATACTGACTCACATTTATAACTCCAGGTCCTGGTGACATGAGAATGAACTATAGAAAACAACCTCAAATTTTTTCCCCCATAATGCCTAAATTTACCTTTAATGCCTAAATGTGTATTGGGTGAAGCTACTAGAGTTTTTAAAAAAACATTAATGTAAGAGCATTTGTTTTTAAATGTTGGGAGGTAAATAGTGTTTTGAATATGTGTGAGGAAAATATGAAAGGTGGCTTGTATTTGCTCTAAGAAAAGGGGCATGTAGGTTAAGAACAGAATGTGGTGGTACTCAATATGTTTGGGGCCGAGAGCCCTATTTTAGAAGAACTTCTAGATTGCTTTTGAAAAGCGTGCTCTGCAGCATTAAACTTCAGCAGGTCATGAGCATGCAAACAAAATGGCTAAAGTTACTATATGTGATATCCAGGGAGAGACAAATAACTGAAGTGTTTTGCTGCATGCAGGATTGAAGGTACCAATTGTCAGAAGATGCCAACCCTCATATATTATTTTGCATTAACTTACAATGGTGCCTTAAAAGAGCATTTTAATTGAGCATAGAAGTAATTCAATGATATTATACTGTGCTAGACTCTCCACTTTATTAACTGACTCCTAAATTAGAAGGGGAATGCCAACTAGATTTCTAAATAAGTGCATATACAAGCCCTCTCTGTGCAAGGTAAGTTGTGCTTCCAACATACACCAGCATGAATAAGGGATGGCTATTCCCCCAGCTTTAGTACATGAGAATAACTGCAACCTTTGAAAATTACTATTAAAAATGTTATAAAGCAGCACTTCTGACATGCATAGCCGTATCTCAGTGACATGCGCATTGTCAGAATTAAGACAATGTGTACACAGCCTAAACCATAAATTTTATATGACTATTGTTTTTAATGGGGAAGGTGACATCTGACTTGATTAGTGTAAAGGAAGAAATTGGAATAAATATTTGGGTAGGAAAAAAGACACGAGAACTAAAGACTCTAACGTACTTATTTTGGAGCAGCTCTAAATGAACAAATTGTAGCAGTCAGATTAGCAATTTATATGTATTAATAAAATAGAAAAGTATCTTCACATTAATATTTGTGCACAAAGGTTGCGAGAGAGAACAAATCAAGATTAGACTACGATCATCCTCATCGGGATCTGAAGTCTTTAGGACTTATACTTTAAATCAAATCCCAAAAAAGAGAAATGTAGTGAATAGCTATTTGATTGAAATTGTTCACCTATTATGTGCTCTACCCAGAGATGTCCTTTGGTAGTCACTGGCCCCTTAGGATATTTGTGCCCTGTTTGTTAGCTCAGTCGAGTTGGCATTTCAGTTGTGTTGAGCCCTCTTAATGCTCATTAAGATGCAGGCTAATATGTTTGAAGGCATGTTAGTTGGCCTTTCAGCTTTCAAACATGTTAGCCTACATCTTAACAAGCATTAGGGCTTTTAAATCATATTAAACTAAGGCCTGGGCTACGCATAGATTTTGTACTTGTATAATTGTCCGGTGTGATTTTTTTTTTTTTCCTCCCGACTGATATAGTTATACCAGTACAACCCCTAGCGTGGACGCAGTTATACCGGTATATGTGTATTTATATTGGTATAACCTTTTCCTGTTCAGGAAAGGTTATAAGCTATATGAATATAAGCATGTTTATACAGGTATATGGCCATGTCTGTGCTACAGTGGCATAGCCACAGTGCCATAGGTATGCTGCTGTGACCCAGTTGATGCAGGCTACAGTAACAGAAGGTATTTTTCTGCTCCTGTAGGAACTCCACCTTCCTGAGTGATGGTGCACCTCTACTTCGATATAACGTGACCCGATATAACATGAATTCGGATATAACTCGGTAAAGCAGTGCTCCGGGGGGGCGGGGCTGCGCACTCTGGTGGATCAAAGCAAGTTCAATATAACGCGGTTTCACCTATAAAGCGGTAAGATTTTTTGGCTCCCGAGGACAGCGTTATATCGAGGTAGAGGTGTCGTTAGGTTGACGGAAGCATTCTTCCGCTGACCTATGAGTGTCTACACTGGGGGTTAGGCTGGCATAACTGTCAGTCAGGGGAGTGGATGGCCATAGCTGTGTTGACCTAAGTTTTACGTATGGACAAGGCCTAAGGCATGGTCCACACTTACATTATATCAGCACAGCTAGATTGGTCAGGGATATGAGAGAACCATGACCCTGATCAACATAGGTATGCTTACAAAATCCCCCGCATGGACACAGGTGT